TTATCACATCTATTCTAAAGTGCCGGCCTCTGTGCACTAAAATTAAGGATTTAATAATTAGTGATGCATCCCTTTCAGTGTCTCATAAGATGCAGCAAGATGTGTTTCTCCATTCTAATGGTGATGGACATTGGGCTGTGCCCAGTCTGTGGTCCTTAGGCACAATGGGCTATGGTCACTCCTGTGTAGGTGTCTTCTGTCCCAGGAGCCCCCCTGCCTCTGGTGACTCAAGAAGGAGTGGGAATCCAGAGTCCTGTGTTGTGCCCGGAGAAGCCTTTTTGAGGTTAAAAGTGTTCAAAAGCCAACTATGCAGATGACAAAATTCACATGAAGATAACGAAAGAAAAATAAACGCACATAAAGCATTGGCAGCATCTATTCAGGGCTGTGTGTCAAAGTCCTGAGCTCTATGCCTCCGCGCCTTCATTCACGCTGGACACCCTGACCCGGGGCGGCTGGAGTCACACTCAGCAGGGGGACGGCACGACCTCATGGGGTCCAGGTTGTACATCCATTTGATGGGGGAGATTCTTGTGCTTTTCACTCTCCAGAACCACAAGGCGACGGTCTGGCCACTGCGGCCCTGGGGAGGTGGGTGGAGCAGGGGGACAGTTCTCTGCATCACGAAGAACCTGTCCTAAACCTGGGGAGTCCCCGTGGAAAAGAATAGTCCCCAGAATCAGGGAAAGGGAGAAGGGGTGAGTTGCTACTTTTGTGGGAAGAGGGAGGTTGCAGAGTGAGGGACCAGGGTGAGCTGTCGGCATAGGGTGAGATCTAGGGGTGACCCAGAGAGAGGGGCTGCCATGCTGGGGCCAGGGAAGAGAACCACCTTGTTGTTCAGCTCACACTCCTCCTCCTCCTCCACTTCTCCCCTTCCTATGCCCAAATCCTGTCTGTCCCACCCCCTCTAGCTCCCCCTCCATCTCAGGATGAAACACAGGGGTGCTATGGTCTGAATGCTCAGGTCCCCCAATTTCTTCTGTTGAAATATTAACCCCCAAGGTGGTGGTAATGTTAACAGAAGGTGCGACCTCTGGGGAATGATTCCTTCATAAGGGCAGAGCCCTCTGGAATGGGACCAGTGCCCCCATAGAAGACCCCAGAGAGCCGCCTTCTAACATGTGGGACTCAGAGAGAAAGGGCCATGGACGAATCAGGAGAGGGGTCCTCGCCAGAGAGCGAGCCTGCTGGTCCCTCTTGGACGTCTCAGCCTCCGACCTGGGAGAGAACGAATCTCTGTTGATCATGAGCCACCCGGTTACCGGTGTTTGTCACAGGGGCCGGAATGAGCAAGGACAGGGCCACAGGGATGGGCACAGTAGGCTCACATTCACATTTTAGTTTGTTTTAAATAACTTTATTTTAGGTCAAAGAAAAGGTTCTAACATAAAATAGTAATGCTGTCTCTTTGTGATAAATACAGGGTAAATATGGGAGAGGGAACAGTATAGAAATAAATAGGGAAATAAAAATATTTATTCCCAATTATATGCAGATCTACTGTTCAGATTTTTTTTCAAGTAGAAATGTAACTTTTTGTGAAACACGTTTAGTTTTTTCATAGTTCCAGTAGTACTTGATATCTGAAAAGAGAGAAAAAAAATCCCGTGAGAGTCTGTGAGGTCCTGCTGGTGGCTGAGTCGGGAGGGAGGGCTGAGTGGGACAGACCCAGGGCCACGCTGAGCCAATGTGGGATGATGGGATGAAGTGGCCAGTGACAGCCACAGGGGAGAAGAAAACCTCCCTGAACTTAAGGTCACCCTGAGTGGCAGGACATGGGGACCCTGTCCCCGCCCAACCAGGACCTGGTGAAATCAACCACTTTCCTCCTTTGTTTGCAGGAAAGTGATGGCTTTCACACCTCCTGGTGAGGGACATGCTCAGTGTCAACCACCACACTCAGAAAGAGACAGCTGCAGGGGGAGAGGCCCTTTGCAGGGAAACAAGCCCTTATAACTCAAGGTCCTGGATTTTAGGAAGGGGTGGGTGGCTGTGGGAAGAGCCCTGGCTGTGAGAGCCAGCAAGGACCTCAGACACACCCAAGTCCAGATCCCCCTTTTCCTGATGAGCAAAGGTTGGTGCCAAAGGGCTGACATTCCACTAAAGCCACGTGACCTGTTACTGACAAGCCTGGAACTGGAACCCAGGCCTCAGGCCCTTTCCACACTGTTTGGAAGAAGGAGAGAAAGGGTCCAACGGAGAAATGAACAAGTCACTGGGGGCTGGGGGTCCCCCTGGCTAGGACAGGGATCAGGATTTAGAAATAGTAGAAGTATTCTTCCAGTGGAGGTCAGGAAAAAAAAAGGAAGGAGGAGAGACTCCAAATGGAATTGCACAGAGAGAGCAGGGACTGTCACCAAGGCTCAACTCATTGTCCCTAATTCCCTGAAGGTGATTCCACACCCGGTTACCACCTAAGGCATTTCTAGGCACATTGTCCACGTCCAGACCAGGAAAACTCTGAGTGGAACGTGAAAAGGACGACGTTGGTTCCACTGTACCTCCCTGCGCCCTACTCTTTCCCCAAAGTCCTTTCTCAGGACACATTCCTGATGTACTATTGTATGCAACTGTCCTCAGGGGTATAAAAATATATAAATCGGTAGCAATCTCCTGAGTTTCATTTTTGATTTATTTTTCTATTCTCTTCAGGGGAATGAGACCTAGGAGTTCCATTTGGAGATTTCACTCAATGACAGTACTTGAACAAAAGTAAAATTTTTAGTTGTAATGCTGACCATATTCATGGGCTTTGATATTAATGTGAGAAATATAAATGTCAGGATTTATTTTAAATACTTGAAAGAAAATACTGAATTATATTATGCATAATAAGAAGAGATATTGTTTTCTGTACAGTGGAATTCGATGTAATGATCATTTCTTATTGGATCCTGTGTTGAAAACAGTCTGGACAAGTGAGCTTCAAGCAGAGCGGCCATAGGTCTGATCCATCTGTCCACCTGCTTTTCTTCCCCATTCTCCTCTGTCACACACACAGCACATTGGAGGGAAATAAAAACTCCATCCGAGGCTGATGAATGCTCGGCCTTTTCTGTGCAGGAGCCACACATCTGGGCACTTGCACATCGATAACCTGAGGTCACAGTGGACCACTTGTCTGTTTCTTCTTTAGACGCTGTTTGGAAAAACCCAAACCGTGTTCCTCCTCTGCTCTCACATCACACTCAACCATCGTCACAGAGGTCGGCTGTCACCAAATATTGGAGGTTTCTCCCCACCACCAAGCAATCAATCGGTTATGCAGTGGACACCAGGTGTGTGTTCCCTGGTTCAATTCTGACACTGTCTACCTAGAGGATTAGGGCTCAGTCCCCAAACCACCTTCCCTTAGACACCATTCCCAAGTCCTGGCTTCCACAACTTCTGACTGACCGACTTCAGGTTAAGGTTCCCACCACACCGTCTTTTGTTTGGACCAATTTACTAGAGTCCCTCCCAGAACTCAGGGAAACATGGATGGTGGTTTATCAGAAAGGACACTACACAGAATGCGGATGAGGGATGCACGGGGCGAGCTATCGGGAGGGGCTCTGAGCTCCACGCCCATCCAGGGGGCACCACCTCTACCCGCCTCCACAGTGCAGCTATACAGGAGCTCCCTGGGCTGTGTACCTTGGGGTTTCTATGGAGGCTTCATCACATGGTCACGATTGATTAAACCATTGGCCTTGTTGATGATCAACTTAACCTTCAGCCCTTCTCGCCTTCCGGGAGGGGGAGGGTGGGGTTGAAAGTCCCAGTCCTGTACCCTTGCCTTTATGTCTCCCTTGGCCAGCCCCCACCTGAAGCTCCTAGGGGCTGCCAGCCATCAGTCAACATTGCCATAAAAAAGCCATCGCTCTGGAGATTCCAAGGATTTGAGGAGTTGTATGCCAGGAAAAGGGACAAAGGCCAAAAACATCTTTCAAATGTCAGAGCCCCATGTTAGAATCACCTGGGAGCCTTTCAAAATACTGGCCCCCGAACCACACCCCAGATCACTGAAGTGAGAATTGCAAGCCGTGAGTTCGAGGCATCCGTCTCAATCAGAATCTCACCAGGTTCTCAGACTGGGCAGTTTGATTCATAGACACTGAACAGACCATCTACATTTCCCTTCATTCTCGTTCCTTCTCACTTTTCTCTCAAGATTGGCTTCCTTCCCCCTGGCTTATGGATTTGAGGCTTCTTTCTGACAGTTTTAGTTCCATCACTGTCTGGTCAATGGGGCTGGTCTGAGGCACAGATTGTCCTGTGTTCTTGTCGCCCATCTTTGGTGTTCATATTATAACGCCACCCTGGACTCACATTTCTCAGAGTTAATTCGTAAAATGCTCTCTTACTGCCTCTGGTGTGCAGAGCCAATGGAGTCGCATGTTATACTCTTACGTGGAGTTGTACAAGCACAAATGGGAATGAAACGGAGAGAGAGCAGATGCCCAAGTAGCCCACGGTCTATGAGGACTGATGTCCTGCCCTGTGCAGCCACTTCTGCACTGATGTCACTTTAGGGGCCCTCGAGTGTCCTTCAGTTAGTGTCGGCTCAAATGAATCCACGACGTGGGGATACTGAGTCCCTGGAAACTCCACCCCAACACACAGCCAGCACCTCTGGGGCTGACACAAAGCTGACAAGGCCAGTGCAGGTCTCCTACCTGTGACCCAGGTTCTAAATGACTTTTTGCAAGTAGCAAAAAATGTGCTCATTTTTAACCGTTCTCATTCACAGGTAGGAGGGAGTCAGAGCAGGGACCGCTCCTAGGGAGATACAGGTTCCCAAGCATGGAAATAAAGGAATAATCTTGAGTCCTTGCAGGCACGTTCCAGGCACCTGGCTAGCCTTGCAAAGTCAATGACCAACTTGACCATCGAGAGCAGACAGAGGTTACAGAAGCTGTTGGCGGGAACAAACGTGGCAGAAACAGAGCAGTGGGAGATGAGCCGGCCCCTTGCACAGAGAGCAGAAGGAGCATGTGCATGTAAGACCAGAGATGGGGTTACCTCTGCACCCGCAGTTGAAGGCCTGGGAAACTACATGTGAGTCTCCACTTGCTGGACAGCAACTTTCTCTCGCTCATCCTCGGTTTCAGGGGACTCGGGCCAGCGAGCAGGGGAGAGACTGTCTGGGCCAGTGAGGGGCATCTTGGCTGGGCTCCTGGGAATCCAAGAAGTAAAAGACAGATCAGAGGGAAGAGCAGAGGCTTAAATGAGACAAGTTACCAGGGCATAAGTGTGAGATTCGCATCCTGTGATGTGCACTGAGCACTTTCCACGAGCCCTCCCCGTGGGGCCACACTGAAGCTCCTGACCTCTCTTGACCCTCCTCTCATCGTGGGTACCTGGGCTTGTCACCTCTCAGATGAGGGCATTGCCCAACACAGGAGCCCCAGGCAGCACACAGGCTCTAGGAGGAGATGGAGAGGGACAGAGAGCAAGGAGGGGCTGGACCAGGAGGACAGGATGTGGGGGCTGGGAGCTCTGTGGTAAGAGAATCTGAGCAGAAATGGGTCCTTCTGGGAAGGAAACTGAGGACATGGCCCTGCGATGTGTGCAGGTGATGAACTAGATGGACGGTCACAGGGGAGACTGATTTGGACAGTTTACAATAAAAAGGTTGCCGTTTATTTCAGATAGAAGATTAAAGACCTGGAATAAAACCTGGATATGTCAGGAGACTGGCCGGTGGGTCCAGGATCAACATTGTTAAAAAAATCCATGTGCAATCACTATGTAGGTGATTAATCACAGAAAGATGTAAGGAATACATATGACATGGTCATAGCTTTAATCGAACAATTGTTACTCAATCAGACACTTTGGTAATTGTCTTAATAATCACCTAAACAATTGAATATAGACATTATTTTTCGAGTCTTTCTGATGCGTGAATTTAAATGTGAAGACCTAACAAGACAAGTGCCATAGCCAAGGTGAACAGCCAGGAAGCGGCACACCCAGCACCTGAGGGCAGCTGTGACCCTATCGCCAAGACCTTGTTCTTCTCACAATGTGAGAGCACCAGGATTTTGACCTGGCCCTGAGCGAGCATGGAGGGGCCCCACTGTCCCCCACACCCCCTGCACTGTGATAGGAACACCCTCATTAGAGCCTCCTGTTCCCCACTCCTTCCCCACCTGGGAAGAGCAGCCACTGGTGCCCAGAGTCAGGGCTGGCTGCCAGGCTCCAGGGGACGCAGTGGAGGCTCCGCCTGGCTAAGCCACAGCCAGAACCCCACTGCTGGTCCAGCTGCAGCTGCAGACAGTGGGTCACCAGGGTGCTTGGCTGAAGCTGTGTCTTTCCGTCGTGCATCTGTGACACGTAGAGGCTCAAGTCTCCACTCCAAGGCCCTTGGGGACAGGTCTGCTGCATGGGAGCTAAAAGGAGAAGTGGGAACAATCAGTGGGAACAATCCTAGTTTTCTCTTTGCTAAATTCTCCCAGAACCCCCATCTCTGGTGTCCCTGTGGGTGAGGGAGACCACCCAGTGGCCCAGACCACACAGACAGACATCCAGTATTTGAAGGAGATGCGACCTGTCAGATCTGTGCCTGGGCATGTGGAGACACCAGGGGCCCAGGCAGTAGAGCCCCTCAAGTGCAAAATCACCCACTGGAGCCCAGAGGGCTTTGGATGGACAGACAGGGACACGCCCACATTCTGTTCCTATTAGCATTAGTCTTTCATCCTGGAGAGAAGGATCTAGAGAGCCTGTCGGGCATAGGAGGGAGTTAGTGATCTGTTCCCACAGCAAGAAGGAACAGGAGGAGGGAAGCTGAAAGAACGGAGAGGTGTGGAAAGGGGTGTTGAGCAGCTAGAAAGCACGTGCCGAGTGAAGGGAAGTGTTCAGGGTTTTGGAGCCTTGTCAATTTCCCGTTTGTAATTTTTCCCCGGAGCCCACACATAGGTGACTCTACTGCCACATAGAGGGTGTCATCAGCCACAAGCAACGTAGAAGAGGTGCCAGTCCCTTAGTGGGAACGTGGGGCCAGGAGGGGAACAGGATCACACCGTGTTGTCCCTCAGGGAACCAGCGACAGCCTCACCCCCCCACCCTCCCACTCGCCCAGCGGGGCCTGGGCAAGTCCCCGTCACACACGTATGCTCCACAGGGAGGTCAATGACATTCTCAGGACGGGGCTAAGGAGAGACAACTGCAGCCCCGACAGCTCAGGGAGGGCCGAGCAGGGACCGTGGCCCGCAGGGCTGCTCCACAGGGCTGGGGCTCCTCTGTGTCCTCCCTCCGCGCACCCCCATTCACACCAAGGAGCAAGTTTCCCTGAAAATGTTCTTGGTGTGTCTGTTCTGCGTCACCTTCCTGAGAGTCACACTGTGTCACACTCTCCTCATGGCTGCCCCAATCCCCGCAGTCTCCTCCTGACTGCTCTCCCTGACGCTGCCGCCTCCACGCTGTCAGTCGCCTCGCCGGGCTCATCCCCCACAGTCCTGTTCTGATCACGTCCTACTCGGCCTCTGAAAACTTCCTCTCCACACCCACGACACGACTCCCTGTCCCCCACCGGCCTTGTGGTCCTGCTAACTGTGGCCCCACGTTCTTATCCAACCTCACTCCCCGACTGCCTAGTACAGCTCGTCCCCTGGGGTCAGGCTGCCCCTCCCTGACCCCAGCCCTGCACGAGGGACCTCCAGGCGTCTAGGTCTTTGTCCACAGCTCCTCCCTCGGCCTGTGTGGCCTCCATAGTTACTCAAGGCACAGTTTGCCACCATGAACCGTCACTCAAGTGGGACACTCACTAAGAGGCCAGGATAGTTCATATTGGGCTCCCAGGGAAACATCTCCAACCGACACACCTTGTGTAGAAGGAATTGTCGAGCCCAGAGACAAGCGTCACACAGCTGGCAGGACTGAAGGGTGCACTGAGGCTGGAATCTCTCCTGGGACTTAGCACATCACCTGTCCCTTCTCTACTGTCCCGGGAGGTGGTTCACTGCCTCCCCGTCTGTCTCTCTCTCCCTGCAAGGTCGTGGTGGTCAGGAAACTTCCTGGGTATGTGGCCAACTCCTGACGCCCTGAAGGCTTCCTTCACACGTTTTTCCTTATTTTGCCTCCTGATTGTCACAAAACTCATCTCCCCTCCAGTCCCTTAGGTCGTTCAAAGATTTGAAGCTGGGTGTCACCCCACTATGGTCTCGAATGTCAAGGGTGATCATTCTCAGGTTTGCACCTGTGTCCAGACGTGTGGCGCCCTCACCTATCCTGGACCCTCCTCCACAGACTGTTAGACAGGTTCCCCTAATCTATCCAGGCCCCAGGGGAGTCTTGTCCTCCCGTGGGGACCTTCCATTTACAGCACTGCAGACGCAGACGGAGGGGCTCTCCACGCAGCCTGGTCTCACCCATGGCCCCTGAGCTGCGAGAAGCCCTTCCCGTCCCTCTCCTGAATGGCTGCAGAGCCAAGTCTCCCCAGCCTGGTCCCCTCAGTGGACAGTTTACAGGGAGGCCTTGGCCTGTGGCACATTCCTGCTGCTGGCCAGGAGCCTCCCTCCCTTAGGGCCGAGCCTGCTCAACACACACTGCAGAGACGCTGTCCGTGCACAGGGCAAGGAACAACACCCATCCCACTCCCGATTTCTGTGCACGGTGTTACTTGGCTATGGGGAGAAATCCCTCACTAAAACATCAGTGTATGATTTAGGTGACACTCATGCTGTGTGTGCCAGGTTTTCCCTGCAGGGAGAGGGTGGGCAAGGCAGACCGCCAGTGACACCGCTGCCGGGGTCCCGGCTGTGCACTGCACACACACATTGTTCACACTATCGCAGGGAAGCCACACAGGAGGCGGCCTTCTGTAATTTGGACCCGACTGCAGAGGAGAATTGGCCTCTCCTGGCCATGGTCAATGATGCCTGGCAGGGCCGTCCCCTCCCACACTCATCTCACTTCTGATACGTATGTCTGGACATTTCCCTTCCTCCTCGTGGGAGCCCAGTCCTGATGGGGTGGGTGTGAGACTGAGCCTCAAGATTTACAAGGGCCCCAGGACAGCCAAGTTGAAAGCAGAGACCCTGGGGACAGGGCGGGAGAGACGAGGACCTCTGAGCCCCTGGTAGAGTTCCCACCGAGCCTCCTAGAGCTGCAGCTCCACCTGTAGAGTTGAGGCCCCACCCAGGACATGCAGGAGACAAGACACGCCGCCCTCAGGAGCAAGCTCGGGCAGACCCTGCTGTGCACGTGCTGCAGGGGCTGTCACCTGCCTGGGCACCGATGGCCTCCAAGGGCAGAGGGGGCCAGGCTGGCAGAGACACGGCCAGGCATTGGGAAGATGGCAAAGCTCCGGGACCCACCTCATCTCTGTGCAGAAACCTCTGCCCAAGCATCTGACAGGAACCAGCAGAGTGTCCTGGGCAGGCCTGCAGGGACATGGCTCAGCCTAGACAGAGGACTGAGCATACAGCACACGGAGGCCACCTGGGACACCAGTGAGATTGACCGGCTTGATAACGGGAGGACTCACCCGCTCCATCCAGAACAGAGCCGACCTCAGGCTCCTCAGACAGGGATGCGGTGCTTCTGATTGGTTCCTGGAAGTCAGACAGGTCAGCACCAGGAAGGACATCCTGCTCAGTCAGTGCCTGTGACAGTCCTCTACTCCCTGCATCCTCCTGCAGGTCACTGTGCACACTGGAGAGAGGAAGAACCAAAGATGAAGGCAGCAGGGACGAAACCCCTGAGCACCCCACGGGGCCTGACGGGAAGCAGAAGGGAGGGGTCTGATGCCATGTGGCCTCCGTTCACAAAGGAGGCAGGACACCTCCTCTACCTTGGGCACAGGTCGCCTGCCTTGGTAAGGGGGTTGAGAGACAGAAAGAGAGAGAGACAGAGAGAGACAAAGAGAGAGAGAGAGAGACTACACAGCAGTGCGAAGTGCACTAACAAGAGGAGGAGATAAGGAGGAAGAGACCCCAGACGCCCTGTTAGGTGTAGGCAGGACACACAGCACACAGGGAACCACAACACTGGGTCGACCCTGCGCACAGATTGCGGTGCATTTCACACACAGCAGTGCAGGGAACACACGGCCTGAGGCACTATAGACTCCCTGAGATCTCGTGTGTTCTAGGTCTTGTATTTCAAAATTGTGCCATGGGAAGACTGCTTGGTCTGGTTATGTTGTTTGCGAGGACATTCCCGTCAATGAACTAAGGCAACAGTGCAGACAGCGGACAGGCATGTCCCGCTGGTGACAGCCTCACACAGGAGAACACGTGATCTGTCCAAGGGCAAGATGCCTCTGAGACTGGTTAGTTCCCTCGGTCACACTCACGCTGCAAGAGCCACGAAGGAGACTGGCCTCTGGAGGCGGAGGACACCCTTGCTGCAGGGCTCGGCCACCTCTGGGCAGGGGATGCGGTTAGTACAACCAGTAGCCTCGGTTTCCCTTGAGTTTGAAATCTTGGTGACTTTGACCTCACGTCTATCCTTTAGATACCACCCTGCCCTGCCATGTGGTACCTTTGCTACTACCCCCTGATAATTCATTGTTACCTGGAAGGCAGTGATTCTAGATCTTCTTCATCTTCCTCATCTTCATAGTTCTCTGGAAACAAATTCAGAAAAGTCCAGACATTAACTACAGTTCCATTTCCACCATGATGCATGCTCCGACCTATCTGGGCATGGACACAGATTATCCGTGTGAGCTCAGGTACCCTTAGAGAACCAAAGCCAGCTCATCTGCTGACATCAAAGCAGTGGTGAGGGACAACGTGCTGATCCTTCCTGTAAAATGCCCCCAATGTGGCAGATCATTGTTATGGTGAACTCTTAATTTATTGGGAAAAATTAAAACATATTTCGTTCTCAAGGTTACTGGATACTTGCACTGTTTCTTCCGGATTTCTCTTTCTCTACAGGAAGGCTCAGGGCTCTATGTCCCTTCACAACTCTCACATAGACACTGCTTTGACTAGATCAGCCCCAAACAATTGGAACATTTATCTCCACTGGAAGTACATCCTTGAGCATTCGCTCATCCAACAGTCACAGCTACCGAGCAGCACATTATGTGACCACTTACAGATGGGGGCAGAGAAGTCCGTGCAGGATAAATCCATGGCTCACCTACGGCTGTGACGGCCAGCGCTCAGGCGAGAGCTCCAGAGACTGTCACTCTAGTGCAGGGCTCTTTGCTCTCTAACACTCTGTCTCCTGCCCCAGAGGTCAAATTCCGTCAGGGAGGACAGTGACAGTTGGACGACCATTACCTCCTGGCCAGTGAGTTTTTCTTCGCTGTTCCCACCCAGGCCCTACTGATCCTGACACGGACACAAATTTGACGTGGAACCAGGACAGCAGGGAAACGTATGATTAGAGGTTGGAGTCTCCAGTACCAGGCACCTGGGAGCAGCTCAGAGTCACGAGGGCTGTGGCCACGCACCTGGGCTGAGCCAGTGGGCGAGGTCCTCTGCCAGCCTGCACCCCTCCACCGGGTGCTCTTGGTGGCACTGCCCCTGGGAATCCTCAGGGTGGTCGTGGGTGATGAGGGTCTCGAGATGCCCACTGAGGACGGAGGAAGCCTCTCTCCCTTTCTGCAACAGGTGGCCAAGCTGGGTAACCTCTCGGGCCTGCACCTCGATGAGGAAGTCCAATTCACTAAGTTGGGACAAAAAGAAAAATGTATAATTAGAAGTCAGTGCATGATAACTTATTAGGGATTTGGTAGTGATTTCATGGCCGATATGCCTTTAAAGTCTTCCAAAGAGCATTCTGGAACATTTTTGGCAACTGTGCGTAATTCTTTGAAATGTTACCTATGGAAGCCATTGCAGCTCCTGAGAAACTGTGGACTCCCTGAGTTCAGTACTTTCTAGGCCTTCTTGTCAAAATACTGTGACATGTCATGTTTGTTGTCTACTGATCGTTCCTGCTGTGAAATTCTGCTGGTGACCTAAGATGCACTCAGTGGACAGCAAGTGTGACTCATACCTGCCTGTCAGCCACACACAGGGACGAGGTGGCGTCTGTGGGGACAGGATGGCCCTGCCTGGGACTTTCACCTAGGCTCAGACTAAACTCAAAGCTCCAGAAACAGAATCCACAGTCCTGTGTAAGGGGCTACGGCACTGCCGGCTGAGAGAATGGAGTTGGTAAACTCAGCAGTTTATACTTCCCCCTGCGTCGTGTATGTGGCGACATTCCCCATGGCTCTTTCTAGAACCCTCTCCATATATTACCTGCTCTGGTGTCTCATTTTGGTCAGTGGTTCTTTTTCTTCCTCCCTCTCCTCACCTGCAGGATTTTCTGCAAATTCAGAAATGTCCAGTGAGACATAACGTAGTTCTCTGTCACTCATTACAGACACAGTGGCCTGCCTGTTTGGTCATGAAGACATGGATATCTATGTGTGATTTTAGGACACACTGAAAGGTCTTGTCCTTCTATCAAGAAGTGGCCTGGCTTGGTTTTATGACCCAGCACAAAAAATCTCTTTGATCCAATGTGTCAGCTTTCTGGAATGTTCTGTCTGAAGTTGTAGGAAGGGTTAAAAACCCCTTCTGTCCCCCAGGTCACCAGATGCTTGTCCAGGTTCCCTGTGGCCTCTGCATCTGTACCCGCCCTGCTGCCACAAAATTGGTGCCAGCACAGCTGTGTCCTAGAACCAACTTCTTTCTCTCCGGAGAGGACAAACAACCCTATCCCAAGACCCTCTGAACAACCCAGGACTCCACAGGGACTGCCGAGTCGGCTTCTGTTGTTTATCCAGGAAAATTGTGGTATGGAAAGGATTTCAGTGTCAGCCGACATTCCTGCCAGCAAGTTCCTCTGCCCCACGGGCCTTATCCAACCCCACACACCAAGGGCTTCACCCTTCTCGGAAGTGCACTTGCAAATGTTCCCACTCTGCATCCCTACCGCTGACATGCAAGGCTTGCTCACCATTTTACAGAAGAAGAAGCAAAATTCCAAGAAGAAGAAATCGGAAACTTGCTCACGTGTAGTGAGGACAGCACTGAGAACGCAGCCTGAGAAACTTGCAGTCCAGAGCCTTTCACTCCTACAAGCTGCCTCGTGTCCTGCTACCTGTGCCTCCAGCCAGTGCCTTTGTCTTGTCTTCGCAGTCAGACAGTCCTGAGTTCGTCACGGCCCCAGATGTGACGTGAAAGGACAGACAACTACCAAGGTTGCCTTGGAGGTTCTTCAGTCTCTCCTAAGCCTGGGACTGTGGGTGATCAGGGCCTGTTTCCACCTTACCTGGGCTGATCATGCGGGTAAGACATACTGCGAGCCTACGCCCCTCCTCCAGTTCCTCCTGGTACCTGTCACTGTCCTCCTGTGTGAGGAGGGCCTCGAGATGGCGACTGAGTGAGGAGGAGGCATCTCTTCCTTCCCGCAACTTCTGGCGAAGCTGCGTCAGCTGTCGCGCCTGATCCTGAATGAGGACGTGGTATGTCCTAAGGCGGGCAGAAGGGAAAACGTCAGAGTGGACAGGGAGTGATGAGAGCTGAGAAGGACTTTGAAAGAGATGCTGTGACTATAGCCCCAGGCAGCTCTTCAAGGGAATCCTGCCACACGTTTCGTGAACATGCCTCAGTTTTTCTGAAACTTCTGCAAATGCAGGATTATATCTGGGCATTGTGGACCTAGTTGCGAATTCTTTTCGATATGAACTTTCTTTTTGTTTAGTGACGTTCCTTGCTGTGGAGAACCTGCCAGCAGGCTAGGCCCTCAATAAGAAGGCAGGGACGCCTCTCTCCCTGATTTTAACCACACAGGGGACAGGAGGTCATATGTGGTTCTGACTATGGAAACCCATGAACGATGACAGTTCACCTGGCTGATTCTATGTTACCCAACGTGAAAACTTCACAGCAAGTGGCATCGACACAGGAATAGCAGGGACAACAGCACCATTGCTGACACAGACCCTGCCTGGTCGGCTGATGAGACCACATAGGAATATTGAGCAGATCTGGGTCCCTGGATCTGCAGATGAGATCCCCAAACACCACCTTAGTTCCCATGAGGAGTCCTTGACTGTCAGAGTCACCTGGGGGCCGCTGGCTCCTGTCCTTCCTCATCCTTGGAATCGTGTAGTTTTTCTGCAAATGAAATCACATGACACAGTCACAAAGTTGCTGCTTTGTACAGAGCAGACACCGTGATACAAACAGTCTCTGGACAAAAGGAGGATATTCTGAGAAGGACACTGCAGGGAGCCCTAGATGTGTGCTCGAAGAAGGAACTGGCCCTGTGTTTCTGAGCCACCAAATAGTGCCTATTGTGACAGACCTTCAACACATGTCCACTGCTTAAACCTAAGTAAATAGTTACACGATTATTCTTTTTAGAGATCACGTGGAACTTGCCTCGCTGTTTTCTGGGGGTGCTACAGCAACCTGCCCCAGTGGATCCCCTGGTTGCTGCTGATGGACATGAGAGTGACCCTGAGATTAGACTGAGGGATGCAACACACAGACTCGCACAAAGAAGAGTCTTTGGTCCTCCTTAGAGCCATGATCCTTGGCCATCAATGGATGTGGGGACATCAGAGCCAAGCCTGGCCTTCAGGGAACGTCCTACACACAGGCAATGCGATTGGGGTGTACGTTCTGGTGCTCAGATGAGGCTTCCCAGGACAAGGACACTAGGAGGACAGGGACCGGAGCTCAGAGCCGAGGGACCCTGGGAACACTGTCTCCAAACTCTCCAAACATACAGGAAGACTGTCATCCTCCTTGACGAGCTACAGGTGCTCAAAAAGCACTGGTGAGAAATGACCATTAGCCAGACAACAGAAGGAGAGATGAGACGTCTCATGGAAAGAAGCCTCTGTCCCAGAATTCTGTGCACGCACAGCACAACTGGCAGAGTGGCCCGAACACCCTCACTCTACCCACCCTGGCCTGTCTTGGTGCCCACAGCCTGCATTTGCCAGTGAGTGTCAGAGTGCCACATATGTGCTAAGGACTAGAAAGGGTGCAAAGCTCCCTGAAACCCCTCATGTCTGTGCTTAGACTTTGTTCCTAGACTTTGGTCCCAGTGGAGGTGGCCTAAAGGGCGTGGCTGCAGAGAGCCATCTCTCTACATCGATGGGCAGGCAGAAAAATACTGAGGCTACCACGGAGACCACTGGGAGCCTCCTTCTTCCCGTAATGGGTGGACTCACTCTCTGCTTCCCAACCAGCCCAGATGTCATCAGTCACGAAAGCAGGACTGTCCAGAGCCCGGTAGGTGTCAAAGAAATCTTGGCCGCTGGAAGGTGACAAGTAGCAAGCATTCAAGGAATCCTGTCCCAGTTTGTCCACTGAGTCCTCCTCCCACAGCTCCCTGCTGAGGGGAGAGGGGGAGGGGAGCAGCCTATTAACCAAAGAAGGATTGGACATCGCAGCATCTCAGCGCTCCTTACTGGAAGCCTAAGGGAGAGGTCCCAGGAGGCAAAGGGGACATCCCTTCAGCGAGAAGGTAGAAAACCACTCTCTTCTGACTGAGGCAGAATGGGGCTGATAGGGGGCTGGGGAGTGCAGGTGTGGGTCGAGAGTGTAGTAGGTGCCCAGTGCACTGGCCACGTGATGTGCTGACCAGGAAGGACACTCCTCTCCCAGGCCTGGTGCCGCCATGACAAGCAGCACACAACGAGAACTGTTGCACCTGCTAGGGCTCCGCTGCAAGGTGGGTTCACTTCACTTGCAGCAGGGCAGTGAATGAAGGCTCCTGAGGCTTGACTGACTCCTATAGATCGTCAGCATTCTAGGCCTTGATCTCTGGATATTGTGACCTCATATGTTTTTTCTCAGTCAAGTTACATTTCTTATTATAAAATCCCTGGCAAGTAACAAAGGCCAACCTTGCAAACAAAGGTACGCATCTCTTCTTGGTTTTCCCCATGTGGGAAAGATCCATCGTTCTCCCTGAGTTCAGGAGTGTGTGTGATCAGTTCACCTCCAGTCAGCCTGGCACTAGGTTACTGAACTTGAGAAATCAATGGCAAGTGGGAACCAGGGCAGAACCACCAAGAAAACAGCTGACACTGTACAAAGCTGGTCACAGTTTGCTGAATGAATGAGACAGGTGCACGCAGCACACTGAGGCTGTCCTGGGTGTGGCCAGAGTACACTGACAGCCCGTGACCGTGAGTTACCTGGAGGGCATCGGCTCTGTTCCATCCTTATCCTTGCAAGTGTTCTCACTTTGACTTTCTGCAAAGAAATTTAGAGAAACCAGTCCTATTATCCAGTTCTTAAGTCACACTTTACACAACACCCTGTGCAATCACGGGGATATAAATGTTCTCTCAAGGAAGAAGTCCAGCACATTCTGCAAGGAACCAGGCTGGTGACTTCTGCCCGTGCCTTCTACTGAAGGGACTGGGCCTGCTCTGCTGAGCCACCCACACCTGCTACATCATCCCCACATCGTCCTCTGCCCTGAGTTGGCGAACAATGAAATATGTCATCCCTGCCAGAGATTGCAGGGAATGCGCGTAGCTGCCTTCAAAGTGGTGTCGATGTGAGTTTCAGCTTTCCCCTCGCAGACACAGTGCTTATTGGTACAGGTGGGATTCCACACTGAGACCACACCGAGGGGTGGAATCTACAGGAAGGTCTGCACCGATGTCTGCGGGAAGGAGTGTCTGGTGCTTCAGTACCCAAGATCCTGCGCTACTTGTAGAGCTCGGAGTTCTCAGCACCCAAGCCTTGATTTCAAGGACAACTCCAGATGTGGCCGCGACACGTATCTCCTCTGCCATTCTGACACATCCTTGGCAAGGATCAGTTGAATTAGAGGGGACAGAGAGATTGCGAATGGAATTCAGGAACTATGGTGACAACATCTCCACAGACACAGGCAAGACCACCAACCTCATCGACCTACTCAGACAGTCACTGATGCTTTTTTTTTTGTTTTTGGAGACAGAGTCTTGCTCTGTTTCCTAGCCTAGAGTGCCGTGGTGTTAGCCTAGCTCACAGCAGCCTCAAACTCCTGGGGTCAAGCGATTCTCCTGACTCAGCCCCCGAGTAGCTGGGACTACAGGCATGTGCCCCCATTACTGGCTAATTTTTTCTATATATTTTTGGTTGTCCATATAATTTCTTTCTATTTTTTGTAGAGATGGGGTCTTGCTCTTGCTCAGGCTGGTCTAGAACTTGTGACCTCAAGCTATCCTCCTGCCTCGGCCTCCCAGACTGCTAGGATTATAGGAGTGAGTCACCAGGCCCAGCCTAATGCTTTTTTAACAATGATCAGAACCCTACAGGATAGACCAGAAGTCCCAACATGAAAGGATGGGCTCACCCAGACCCCTGCCGTGCACACGCTTCAGCGGCGGCTGAGAGTTGATCACACTTTCTTCACTCTCGCCACTCTGCTTAGCTCTGTGGTGCCCGCCATGACCTTGTCATTGAGTCCCACGGTAACCTGTTTGGCCTGGGATTCGGGGGAGTGGCTACCTGACACACCTGATGTCACTGTTTCACACTCAGTCGGCCACCCTAATCCATATCAGTATGTGTTTCCAGGGCATGTTGGCATCTGTCTACCTGGAGACAGGTGTGGGGCACAGAGAATATGGAGGCTACCTGGGAGGATACTTGGACTGACCTACTTTATCCCAGACACACTCACCAGCTATATTCGGGGAGGAGCAGGCTTCTCCCTCATCAGGCAGCAAGGCAGTGCTGTTGGAAGGGTGGCAGGAATCAGAGAAGTCGTGGCCACTGGAGAGAGTGAGACGCTGCTCACGCAGGAGATCTGCTGGGTGGGATTCATCTCCTCCTTCTCTCTGCTGAGCCTGGGGGTCCGGAGGAGAGAATATTAAGCTGAGAGTCATTGGGCACCATACCTTCCCAACTGGTCCCGATCAGGAGACAAAGGCAGAGGTCCCAGAGGCAGGGAGGTCACCTTGAAACAGGAAGAATAAACAGCCCTCCTATGGCTGCAGCTCAGGGAGGCGGCCACGGGGGTTTCAGGAAGGGGCAGGTGCTCAGTGCACTGGCCACATGGCACGCTGACGAGGAAAGACACTACCCTCCCCCTGCACGGTGCAATCAGGACATGCAGCGCAACGACCCGTAACACGCGCTGCAGCTCCCATGCATGTTAGTTCCACTCTGCTTGCCCAGTTGCAGTGAGTAAAATCACCTGAGGAATCGCGGACTGTAAGAGATCTTGGGCCTTGTAGGCCTCGTTCTCTCAAAGCTGTGAAATGATGTGAAACTTTTCTTTGTTTCTTTCTTCTCTCGGTATACTACTTGCCGTGGAATCCCTGCCAACTACCTAAGGGGCCACCCATTCAGAGAGAAGCTGTGCCTCTCTTCCTGGATCCCTCCGATGTGAGAGGGGAGGGTTCACCCTGAGTGCAGGAACGCCTGAGACTGGTGAGTTCATCTTGGGTCACAGGATCCAGCTTATTGAACTTGAGAAATTAGCGGGAAGTGGAAACCGGTATAAGAATCACCACATCAACAGACACATTCTTGTCAGGCAGGATGGGTGAGGTAGATTCATTCAGCACTCTCTGCTGTTCCCTGGAGCAGAGATCTCCAGACAGTGCCGTGGCATACACAGCCCATGACTGTCTGACTCACTTGGGCTCCATGGGCTCTGGTCCTTCCTCATGCTTCTCATCACTTTGAGGTGCTGCAAATACAGTCAATCAGGACCGGTCACAACAGATACTTGCCTCAGGATTAACACTAACCCAAGGGGTCTGTGTAATACATGGAGGAAAGTACTGCTGGTGTGAGAACAGTATTCCATGGAGAATATTCCAGATGGCCTCAGGCTATATCTTCTGAGAAACACCCAGGCTTCCTATTCTAAGTCCCTGGGTAAACTGTCCCTGAATTGGTCCATCAGTGTCACACACTCTGATCTGAGTCTGGGCCACCAATTACATATTTCCCAGTGAACAGGAAGAGCTTGCCTAGTGGCTTTCTGGAAATGTTGCTGCAAGGTGCAGTCTTTAGTCCATCAGCTACTGTGGTTGCTATGGGTACAGATGAGATTATCCACTGAGATCAGATGATGGGTGCAGTCTCTATACCCTTAAATAGGAAAGACCTTTGCTCCTACTTAGAGAACAGGATACTTCTCATTCAAGGATGTGGATGGTGTCCCTGCCTTGTGTTCAGGGATAATTCCGGACTCATTTCAGAGGTGTTTGTATTCTGGTGGTTACATGGCCATTTATCAAGGACAGGTCCACATTGAGAAGAGAGGGACTATGGTCTGGAGGTGAGGAGTCACCAACACTATCTCCAAAGATACAAGCAAGAATATCCACCCCCTCAGACAATCACTGATGCTCATAGTACCCTGTTCGGGATCAGCACTTAGAGAGGACATTGCAAGAGAGAACAGACGTCCCATCTGTAGAGAATAGGCTCATGCAGACACATGTGTGCACATACATGAGTGATGGCTGCAGTTTGTTACAATATCTTCGATCTCTCCACTCTGGTAAGCCCTGTGTTCACCACCCTGACCCTGCCATTGGAGCCAGGAGGCACAGAGGCTACCTACAGGACAATTCGGAGTGCATTCTCTTTACAGTAGAATACTCACTAGCTGCATCCAGTGAACAGGAGACTCCCTGCTCACCAAACAGGATGGCACTGGTGCAGGCAGGCTGGTGGGTGTCACACAGGTCATGGTTACTGGGAGAAGACGGGTGGCCATCATCCAGGGGGTCCTGTGGGACTCCATTCATCTTCTCCTTCTCCTGGACCTCTCTGATCAGCCTGGTGGAATAAAGAATAGGACCAAACCAAGAGGGATTGGACACCAGATTCAAGGGGGTCCTGATGAGAGGCATGAAGGACTGGCCACAGAGGGCAAGGGGCTGTCCCTTTGAAGAGAAAGAAAACTATCCTCTCATGATAAAGGAAGAATGTTGGTGCCTCAAGGGCAGGAGTGGGAGAGTAGCAATTGCTCTGTGCACTGGACACATAAGGAGATGGTGAGGAAGGGGACACAATTGTCCCCTGTGGTTCAATGTCAGCAGGCAGCACATACAGAGAACCACACTGTCCCTGAGCCTTATGCGTGGAGTATGTTGAAAGTTCCTACAGCAGCACAGTGAACACAGGCTCCTGACATTGTAGGTTCAGGAGCTCTTGTGCCTTCTAGGACTCCCTCTAGGAATACGGTGACATGATGGAACTATTTCAGTCTGCTTAAATCCCTTGCTATGGAATCACTTCCACAAGCGAAGGCCACCCGTGTAGAAAGCAGATGGGCATCTCGTACTAAGTTCAGCCATGGGAGAGAGAACAGGTAGATTCTGTGATTGTCGAAATCCCTAAGACTGACTCGTTCTCCTTAGTTACTGGGAAGTACCGCGAAGACAGTAAACAACCTTGTTAATAGAAGCAGTTTTTCACTGGTTGAGTGAATGTCATCAAAGCACAACAGTTTTCATGTAAGTTTGATGTGAACTCTGTGGCTACTTTTGACATCTTGGCCAGTGTAACTGGGCCGACCTGTGTTTTACCCACTCTCCCCCAGGTCCTGCTTATTCATTGGTACCTGGGGGCTGGCGGTTCTTGCTCTTTCTCATCCTCCTCATCTTCATGGTTTTCTGCATACAAATTCAGAAATGTCCACTCAGACATTGAGTAGCTCCACATCAGCCCTACAAACGCACTGGGCTATCGGGCATGGAGATGTAATACCAGGGTAGGACTTCAGGTTCACTGATAGAATTATAGCACCTGTCTCTTATTTTGTATTTAAATAAATGGTTTGGCCTGTTTATCTGATATACCAGATACAGTTGGCCTGATCTGGTGTTTCGCCATCAGTGCTCAGTTGTGGAAATGGAAAATGAACGTTTACAATATCTTGTGTTTGACAGTTCAAAATATACTTCTAACGCTCTCTTGGATTTCTACAACTGCAGCCATTGATCCTTCTGTAAAGCCTGTTTTCAAGCATAGTGGGAAAGTCCTCTAAAAAGAGAAAAAATAACTATGTCTCTCTTTCCTCAAAATACCTGGGAGAATCTCAGTGTGTTGTCCAGCATGTCAGAATAATGGAAATCATCACTCCTGTCCTCACAACAAGGAAAAACCTGAACAAATGAAAAATCAACAATTCTTGCGCCTGGAAGAGCATGGAGTGAAGAGTGTAAACTGCTCCTACAAACGCTGGAGGTGAGGACAGGTGAACACAGAAAACAGCAACCTTTTGAGCCGAACACCAGCACATGTATGTAAATGTGGACGGTTTCTACAGTAAGAAAACATAAGACATAATTGGCTAATTGCTGGAGTCTGAGTCTACAGAAATTTGAGAAGTAAAAAAGGTGGTTGCTGTCATAGAAGTGCCCACACCCTCATGGGAGATTTAACATCTGATACCAACCATTTTCTCGTGGTGAAGATTAGAGAGAAATCTATTAATTTATCTGGAAGTCCTAGGGGTGGTGGTAGCTGTTTGAACTATACCAAGAGCGTTCTGCCTTCTCACCAATCCTGCCCTGGAAACAAAGGATTTCACTAGAGCTTAACCACCTGCAGCTTTACCAGACCCTACCAGGCCTGTGGGAGGCAGAATATCCAATCTCAGGTGTCTTTAATCTTCTTCTTTCCTCCAAGGGGGAACAGTGGGGAGCAAATCCTGACTTCTGAAGGTCACAGCCCGGGGACTCAGGCTCAGTGAACACTGAGACCTGGCCATGAGACTAGGGAATGCCTCCCCTTCTTCCACACCTCACCAGCACATGAGTAGGGCTCCCGTATAATGACAGGAAAATGCAATCAGAAGAACTGTATGTTTTCCTCTTTATTTAAGCAGAACTCTCTAGGGAAACCCAAGACAACAGAGGAGACAAGAAGAAGAATATCAGAGGAAATTACAGACTCTGACAGCTACAGCTGCTGCGAACAGTAAACACAGAGTAAGGCCTAGTCAGCCAGACTGAAAACCTCACACTAAACAGTTATTTACCTCAATTCCTTCTACCCAGAACATCGTGTCTGACTTTATTAAGAAATTAGCATGCCGGAAGACAAAACACGCAGTTTGAAGAGTTGCATGAGAACCAGACACACACATGGCAGATACATGGAATATACAAATTAGGAATTTAAAGCAGCTATGATCAGTAGGTTTAGGGCTCTAATGGGACAAGTGTGCAACAGAGAAAAACAGAAAAGTAGATAAGTCGAGGGATGGAGACTCCAAGAAAGAGGTCAGAGGAAATCCTAGGAATAAAAAAACAATGTAACAGAAATAGAAAATGCTCTGGATGGTTTTATCAGTGGACTAGACACGGCCAAGGAAAGAATCATTGAGCTTGAAGAAATGTCAATGGGAAGGTCCAAAGCTGAAATACAAAGGGGAAAAATGAAAGAAACAATATGTAAGAATTGTGGTGGAATAATTATAAAAGTTTAAAAGGTGCATAATGGGAATATCAGAAGGACAAGAGAGAAATAAAGAGAAGAAATACAGATCTTTGGACATAAAAGGATTATAAAAGTAAAAAGAAAGACTTCTAACTCATATTATGAGATGAACATTACACTGATATCAAAACTAGAAAAAGACATAATAAAGGATCCGTAAAGGCCAAATATAGAAAATAGAGGCAGAAATCCTCAATAAAATATTCGTAAATGGAATCCAACAGTATAGTAAAAGAATTACATAGCAAAGCCAAAGAATTACAAGTCCCAAACCTGATATGCAAGGGTGGTTCAATATTCAAGTATCAATTAATCTATCATATCAACTGACTGCAGAAGAGAAATTTATAATCATTTCAGAAAAGCCTTCAAGAAAATCCAACACATGCTTGTGATAAAAAATCTAAACAGAGTAGAAATACAAAGAACTTCCTCCCCACAATGCAGATATCTACTGAAAGCTGTAACTAACTCCAGGCTCGATGGTAAGAAACTCAATACTTTCCCAGCAAAGATCAGAAACACAGAAAGGACATCTACTCTGCACTCCTGGATCCTTGAGTGCGGCCTTTTGACTGAATGCAATCTTACAGAAGGGATCCTTGGATTTGGTCACCTAGATTTGTGTCCTTGGACACAACACACAAAAGCAAAACCCACGAGAAAAGAATTGATAAATTCAAGTTCATTAAAATTAACCTCTGTTGTGTGAAGGAAACTGTCAAAATAATGAAAAGATAAGCCCCAGACTGGGGAAATTTTACACAGCACAGAGCTGATGACACACAAAGATTTGGCTGTGTGGGTTTCGAGGTGAGGGAGGGAGGGTTGAATAGGTAGAGAGCAGGGGATGTTTAGGGCTGTGAAACTACTCTGGTTGTCATTGTAATGGTGGATGCATGACATTATACTTAGGCCCAAAGCCGCCAACAGTACACCACAAAGAGTGAACCTGAACATAAACCCAGGTCTTTAGTTAATACTAACTTATCACTGTTGACTCCTCAGTGCTAACAAGGTAACAAGTTGGCTCTGACTACATTACAGGAAGTTCTCTCTATGGAAAATGTCCCAGGATAAGGCAACATCCCCAACACCAGGTGCTGCTCTACCAAGTACCTTCACACACCTGGAGTGAGGACCTTTACCTTCACTGAGGTGCCTTGATGAATATCGCATTCCCATGTAGGATGGCTACAGCTCCATGTGATACATTTTTTCCAGATGAGGACTGAGAAATTCAGAAGGACAAATCCATCACAGGCTCACAGGCACTAAGGACAGCACTCAGGCTACAGCCTGGGACCCTCTCATTCCTAGACCAGGACTGTCATCCCTCTACCAAGCTGACTCTCATCACACCCTCCTGTGCTACTCTAAAAGGGGATGGAGGCTCCCTCCTCACCGAAAGGCCATGATGCATCAGGAAGGAAGGACAGAGAGGGAACACTGGGACGTCCTCCCTGAGCATTTCTGTCCTTTGCTCCCGCCGGGCAGCCCTGATCCCATCATGGCCATAAATGTGAAGTGCAAACCAAAGAGCCACATGGTGACTGGAGTGTCCTGTGAGCTGGCACCTGGGAACAGCTCAGAGTCATGAGGGCTGTGGAAACCTTACCTGGGCTGAGTGTGCGGGCGAGGTGCTCTGCCAGCCTGCGCCCCTCCACGAGGTGCTCACGTAGGCCCTGCCCCTGGCAGTTGTCAGGATTGTCTAGTGAGAGGAGGGCCTTCAGATGTTCCTTTAGGAGAAATGAGCCATCTCTCCCCTCTTTCAACAACTGCCTCAATTGGTTGAGCTCTTGGGCCTGTTGTTTAATGACCATATTGGCTTCCCTATAGGGGGAACAAAAGCAAGTATTAAAGGTCACCATTGAACAATAGATTATATGGGCTTTGGCAGACATTTCCATGAAGATATCCCCAGGAAGCCTTCCGGGTACAATTCTGGCACATATTTGGTGACCTGCTTGTGGCAAAGAGAGAGAAGAACGTACAGGGAAAGCCTCCTGTGCATCAGAAAGTGCCCCTGTGAGATCCTTGACATTCCCTTCATGTTTTCTTCTTCAGAAGAGCCAGGTGTCTTCCTGAATTGGCTTCACGACGGTGTCCCTCCAGTTCCTCACTTTGACCAAGGCCTTTTCCATGTGAAAATACACCCAGCACATTCTGCAGCGACTGGACACACAGCCACATGAAGAAATGTGGCCAGGACCAGCTGGGCCAGTGAAAGGACGAAAGACACAAGATGACAAGGTCAAGGAGACAACGTTCTTTGGGTAAGAGAATCAGAAGCCACACTGAGTCAGGAGGTGACAGTGATTCAGAGTAAATGGGATGGTGACTGCACAACATTTTAAACTTTTAATTGTGTAAATGTAAGGGGTACAAGTGCAAGGCTGTTCCTGGGATAGGTTGCGTAGTGTTGGAGTCGGGGCTTTTAGTGTTTCCATAACCCAAATGCACAGTTTGACTACACTCAAAGCTGCTGACTTGGTCACATTCCTGTGGTTAATTTTATGTCACAGGACTTTAACCTTAATGATTTCTTATTTGAAAGGAGAAAACATGGCTCTGTAGGCCAGAATATATCATTAGTTTTGTTTTCGTCTCATTTTATTAATATCTGTGGATAAGGTGCCTGCCTCGTCAATTCCTGCCATGCTCCTGGGCCAGGTGAGCTCTTAGAAGTCCCAGCTGAGCTGCCCCACTGCAGAGACTCACACCTCCCAGCTGTCTACCCTGCACACAGCCCCCTTACCTGAGCTTGTGCTCCAGGATTGGTGTCTCTGCGCGCTCCTCCTCCCAGAAATCCAGCCTCTCCCCCAGCACAGCCTCCAGAACGTCCCTGCACTCCTCACACTCTGAGAAAAGACACCCACGCCAGCCTCAGTGGGAACATGGACACGTTGCTGTGGCCACTGCCCACAGGGGAGGAGGCAGGGTCCATTCCAAGGACCAAAGTGTCCCGAGTACCAGGTTCTATGCAGGGATTTCTACAACTTTAATTCTCAACCTCCCATCTCCATGGCATTGATAATCCCCAATTGAAAGGTGAGGAAAGAGAAGCTCAAAGACACATAAAGTCACTTGGCAAACATTGAACTGGGATTTGGGAGAGTCAGAGTTCACATCCTCTAAGGTCTGACTCTGAATCAGGGGCCTTGTGACCAAGGGGGCTGCTGCTCTCCTCCTCATCCCTTGTTCACACCTGGGCCAACGTCTCCTACCTCTGACCGTCATGGTCCACCTGCACCTGCTAGCCGTCCTGTGTCCCTGAAGGTTCCCGAGCTCAAGGGACACACAGAGGTGGGAAAGCTTCCGTGACATAAGGAGAAGCACCATCTACCTTCCAGCTAAATTTCAAATGACTTTCTTGGACTCAAATAGGACCGGTGTCCCAGGAAGCAGAGCTTCCCTCCCACCAGGTCAGCCCTCTGGACGGGGTCACTAAGGAATGGCACCACTGCCCTTAGGAGTACGCTCCTCTGGAAGCTCCTCTGAGGCACGGGCTGTGTCCCACCACCTTCCTCAGGGGGCAGCTCAGGGCTTTCCTGTTGGGCCTCAGCACAAGCTTGAATTAGATGGAAGCTCATTAGTCCCAGAACCTACAACAATAGTGACTCTATAGGACTGTGGGATTAGGTACAGTACACAGGGTCCTAAGACAAACCAGTGTAGCTTGTGCTCAAATCACAGGCACTTCCTTGGCAGCTGCAGGAATAAATAACTGAGATTTTACCTCACTTCCCACCCTACTTCTCACCTGGAACTGAGGCGAAATTTTTTGTGCCTCAGTTTCTACATCCTCAGAAAAATGAGGTTAAAATACCCGCTGTTCCCTTCCTAGGAATATAGTCAGGATGGAATTTATTTTGATAAAGACAAGAGAAGCCCCAAGTGTAGAGAGTGTTTATTTTCTGAGAGAGAACACATACAACCGTTCATCACTGTGAGGACAGCGAACCTACAGAACTTACTATATTTCTGCAGCTGGTTGGCCAGGGAGAAGGCCGTCGATTCCGAAATATTCAGCTTCTCCCTGAGGTCTAGGATCTGTTGTTTAGCCTCTGCCAGCTGGGAGCGCAGGTCCCTTTTGTTTTCCCGGACATCCATCTCCGCCCTCTGCCTGGACAGAGGGCAGAGAGACCCTGCCATGCTGCCGGGTGTGGCAGAAGAGGCACAGCCAGGGACTGGGGAGAGGGGAGAAGAAACCCAAACACGTGACGGGTGAAGAACAAACTAAACCAGAGAGGTTTCATCAGGACTGAGGGAGAACCAGCACCGCACTGCTTAACTTACTGTTGGGAAAACGTGATCCGCACCCCACAGCCCTCGACAGTCCTTCACTGTGCAGTCAATCGGGTTCAAGGTGCCAGAGCTCAGAGCCGAAGGCTCTGCCTGCAGCTCAGACTCCAACTAGAGTGAGGCAGGTAGAGCTCAGCGCGCTGGGTAACTGTCTGCGGTTGTCAGAATTATGTGCGGGTGCACGGAATGTTAGGAGCCCCCGCCCCCCAGTGCCTGGGCCATGCCAATACACGAGCCAGGTGGCCTAGCCTAAAGGGGACAGCACTGATGGGGACACCCCCTGAGTTGCCATGCTCAAGAGCGGTGTAGACATGTGTTCATGCCACACACCCCTTCATTCCTCAGTAAATCTATGCATATTTCCTTCTATCCATTCTTGTGTCTGTGTGGAAATATCTAGGCAGAAACAGTTTCCCCACGAGTTTTATTTTCTTCATGGTTTTTAAGTAGTCATGCCACCATTTCTTTACCATTAAAACAGATCTTACGACTTTTCCTACATTAAATAATGAAAAACTTTTGCAATATAAAAATGTAAATCTCTCACAACATTCTTCTCTGTATCTTCTCCCATTGCTCCAAATCCATTAGAAAGTATAGAACAAAATGTAGTGTATAACACTAAGTGATCATGTACTTAGTTTTTCCATATGGTTTCTGTCCTGTCTGAATGTTCCTGCTGCATTCCAGGGTTACGTTGGCTTCAGTCCCCTCACAGGGGGGCTGTGTCTCTCCTTCTACCTACGTCATATGTGACTTCCCACCACCTACGTCCTCCCCTATGTGTGGGCTGCTTTGGGTTGTTATTTCATGTCACTAAACATTAATTTCACACTTATTTCTAATGGATTTCTTCCTACTCCCTCATGTTTTGTTTCCCAGCTGTCACAGTGATTACACTAGTTCGTGTGCAGGGGCTTGAACACACAAAGTGACCGTCTGTATTGAAAAGTCTTGTGAACCTCATGGCAGATTTTACATTTTTGCTCAGGTCACTCACACACTGCACAGGACAGGGATCCAGAGCACTTTTCTGGAACCTTGTTCCATAGATCTGTGTGCGTTAACCTGAAACTGTTGAGCTGTGAGTGTTTTCCACTTACTAAACATGGAAAGGTCAAGGTCATGATTCCGGGGTGATGAGGCTCCATGATGTCCACCTGCAATGTGGTTCAGGTGAGGCTGAGGTAAGAGGGACAGGCAGGCAGGGGAGAGGGACCCCTGAGCCACCTCCTCACGTTCTTGCTTTCCACTCCCACCCAGGTCCTGTGAGCCTGAGACCTGGGAGACGCCCTGTAGCCCAGGTCTCTGCAGTTCAGCGGCTGGACCTGCCTGAGTTGAAGGAGAAACACATCATGGGCCCCTGAGCGTTCCTGTCAGAATGCAGGAAGGAGGACTGCTCAGTCTCTTTGAAAGTGCCCCTCACAGCCCACACCATCCCCGTACCGCACTGTGGAATGACACTGGTTTTGAGATGTCTGTTCAGCCTCAGTGTCCACTGGGTCAACATTTTCACCAAACACATTTTTGAAAAGACAATATTTCTGTTTCTCTAAGAAGCACATTTACAGCTCCAAAGCCTGCAGCCAGTTTCTGTGCTGTATTTTGGCCATTGTCATACATTCCATCTGCTTCCTCCTGTGTCACCCCCATGGGATCCATGTTATTCGTTGCATCATTTGGAACAATTAGAGAGTGTTTTTTCTTCAGAAGTCATCACAGGCTGTGAAATGTAGTCAACTATCTCCCACTACATGACACTTAACCCCGCTAATCTGTGTGTTCCCCAAAGCTTCACTTTTTGAGCAGGTTCTTGACCTTTGTAGAGACCCGTTGGCCAACCAGACATTGTCCAGGGTTTTCTAGTCTGTCAGTGCACTGGTTTTCTTCCTGTTCCTACAATCTAAGTATGATCTGTGACATAAACCATATGGAGAGGACCTATGCTGAGGATGAATGACACTCAACTGTGACACAGGAAGCAGGGACACTCTCCGTAGGACTTTCTCCACATGGTTTTGACAAGAATCAGGAGGGGGTGCATAAAGCCCAGGGCTGTCCCTGCTCCTCATCATCGTCTTCCTCGTCAGCAGGGGAGTGTGTGGGGTGAGCTGTTGATTTCCCACCTACACAGAGCCCTGGCTGAATTCAGAACAGAAAACTCTCAGCTCCTTTCAGTAGGGACGGGAGCTCCGGAGCTCCCGTCCTCTGCTCCCCAGTGTGACCAGCACAGGGTGCTACACACAGGGATCTGTAACTGCCCTCACTGAGCTCAACTAACTCAGATCAACTTCCCTAGATAAGTATAAATGATGGATTTTACAGAAGGGCATAGGGTGGACACAGGGGTGAAACAAGGGGTGTGGGATGTTTTTGTGTCTCTGAGTACAACAGTCACAATGTTTCCCAAGCATGTGAATACAGAAAGTGGGTTCAGCCCTAGTTCCTGCGTGTTCCCTGCAAACATGGAAACTGCTTTATTCCCTCTATATTCGTTTTTTGATGTGAGATCTGAGAATAAATTATGAGCTACTGAAATTCTAAAAACAGAGTCATTATTTAGTTAATTTTGATGTGACGAGAGATTAGAAAAGATGGAAAGCATCTGACTTATCAGCAAGAATAGGGAACAGCGTCACCTTTCTGGCAGACCTGGACTTACCTTGCCTTACCTTACTAAACTTGCCTCATGGAGTCTCCGGGTGGCCATGAGAGAGTCAGAAGTTTTTTCTGGAAACCTTGGCAGTGTTGACCTTGACACGACCTGGGGGCAGATGTTGGTGGTATCCTGAGAGGTCAGGAGTGCTGTGTCCCACAGGGGTCACCCAGCTATGGGAAAAATACAGATGGGCGATGAGGACAGACACTGATTTCACCCTCAGGGCACATGGGACCCTCCCTCAGGGTCACCACACTTCTCATGACTCATGGCCTACTAGCCTGAGATCTCCGTGAACGCCGAGATTAGGTTTCATTCATCTCCATGTCCACGGTCCCCAGCTCGGGCCCAGCACTGAGGGGCTCTCTGCAGTGGTCGTCAGTGACTGAATAAAAGTGGTTTTTCTGACTCCAGCCATCCCCTCCACATTCCTTCCCCAGTGTCCTGTGAGGGACGCTCTGCTTCCTGCTAGAGAGCTGCACGTGTCCTGTAGACAGATCCCAGCCCTACAATATCCACAACTGGGACACTCCCCTGAGGGGATCTGATGACACCGAGCTGCTCTCAGGAATTCTCTTCCTGGATCACCTCATCATGGGAAGATGTGTCTGTGACCTCTCCACCAATTCCTTGGGCTGGCACAAGACCTTTGTCACCTGAAAGGGACAGAGGATAGCCCAGGTATCACTACTTATGTGTAAGGGTCCCCTTTCCCTGGTTCACTGGCCTAGAACAGCATGTCCAGCCCTTGTCCTGCTAAGCCCACCCTTACGTGGAGGGTGTCCACTGTCAGGGCAGCCCCAAGGTCAAGGCTGCTGGAGCTGGGCAAGGTCTCAGGGTCTCTTCTTCCTACTCTTGGAGTTGGTGCTTCCGTCAGTGTGAACCAGCTCCGAGTCCAGACCGTGGGTGTCCTTGGCCAGGTGCACAGGATTCCTGTGCCGTGAGCTCCTCTCCCATCCTCCCTGCTCAGCCCAGGCTGCTCCTTGAGGGTTTGGGTGGTGACAGGCCTCCCTCAGTGTCCCCTGATCTCCGAACCCAACTCGTCCTCATTCTCACCCCCTGTGTGTCCAACTGCTCCACCATTACTGTGTCCTTGTGTGGGTCACTCTCATCCCCCAAACCTGCTGGCTCTCCTTCCTCCATCTGCTCCCTCGGTTCTGAGTTCTCAGGGCATGGACGCAGCTCAGGGTCCTGCAAGAGACAGTCACAGTAGGGACCAAGGCCAGGTCTCAGGTGCAGGTGCCAGGGCACCTTTACCACACAGCTCAACCCCCCAGAGACTCAGAGCAAACCCAGCAGGAAGGTCCCTGGGAGAGCTACAGTAGGAACCTTCACTTCCTGATGAGGAAACTCAGGCCCAGAAGGAATAAGAGATTGTCCCCAGCTCCCTCACCACATGATGGCAGCAGGGCCACCTCACAAGCCTGGGATCAGCTTCCCTGTCCAAAGCACAGAACTCTCCCACCAGGAACTCACATCTCAATTTCTGGGACTTTGGATCCCACATGGCTATTTCCACTGTTAAAACAAAATCTCAGATGGCTCCTTCCTGGGACATATCTTTATCACAGTCCTACAGTTCTTAGTCCTGTGTTTTGTTTTGTTTTCTTCTTTAAGAAGAGGGTCTTGCTCTGTCGCCCAGACTGGAGTGCAGGGACGTGAACACAGCTCACGGCAGCCCCAAACTACTGGGCTAAAGGGATCCTCCTGCCTCAGCCTCCTGAGTAGCTGTGACAACAGGTGCACACCATTACACACAGCTCATTTATTATTATTATTATTGTTAATATTATTATTTGAAGAGATGTGGTGTCACTATGTTGCCCAGGCTGCTCTTGAACTCCTGGCCTCAAGTGATCGGTCTCCTAGACCTCCCATTGTGCTGGAATTATAGGTGGGATACACTTCGCCTGACCCAATTCTATTATTTATACTCAGTTTGCAATCAATGACTGGTCTAAGGCGACAAAGGTACGGAAAGGTTTAAGTTATATATAACACAATCACAAAAGAAGTATATTTGTGTGATTATCTATAAATCATGTGTCTCTTCAGTAGGAAGATGATCTTCAGCACACCAGGGACTCTGTCCACCCTGGTCATGACATGTCCTCAGTGTCTCCACAAGTACCTGTCACAGAAAACAGTC